TACTGGTGCTCAACTTGAAAACATTCCAACATTGTTCTCCACCCACTTAGGCATCCTGCTTGTTATGTATTGACTATTATTAAAGAGTTGTTGGCTATAGTGGTCGGTAAAAGATTTAAGAACATCCCCTGATGAAGAAAATTTGATGTTCAGACTGATAAGAGGCCAGTCACATGGCTTCACTATATTCAAGGACCAAATATGAAATTACAATGTTAGAAAATCCAATTGAACGAATATGGCTTCGAGATTCCTTATACTAAAGCAAAGGACAGCTGTCAAAAATATGCTGAGAAGATATCTAAGCGAAAAGATGCATTTGCTATCACGAAAAATTTATAAAAATATAGTAAACTGTAAATACCAAAACCATGTTAATGCAATCCCAAATTCTGTTTTACAATCAATAATGGAAAAAAGGTTAATTAGTAAAAGCTGTCCGAAGATCTGATGCATTTGACAAATATCGAAAAATTTTCGAAATGTGTAATGACCCTCTAAGCGAAGCACTGGAAATAGATAAGCTTTAAAAATTAGGGTTTACACCGATACCATTTCATTCTAAAGAATTTTTACAGAGATAAAACTAAAATACTTAATGATGAATATGAATAATATGGTTTGGATAGAGATAAAAAATTAAATTAAGATAGCAACCAAAATGAAAAAAAAAAATAATAAAATGATGGAAACTATAAATACAACAGATACTTCCAATGAAGGAAAGACTACATGTTCTCAATCCCAACTAAAACGGAGCTACAATATGAGAAATTAAAAAAAAAAAAAATTCAATAAAAGTATATAAATAATTGGCGCTTTGTAACCGCTGAAGCGATTTTCGGCCTAGCTCCTCCTGCAATATGTGGTATGTGTCTTGGCGTTTTCCAGCAAATGGAGGGGCTTACTGTTTATTTAAAGAAACGGCCAATGGATTTTTATGAGGAATTCTTATTTTATGGCAGGAATACACTCGGAGGGTTTGAGATTCAAGCGACGGCAATTGGAAAAATTAATTTCCTACAACAATGTCTGGGCGCATCCTGTTGAAGGCAATAACGCTGCGCATTCGTGTCAGTCCGCACTTCGACTGGTCTGCGGCTCTTCACATAGGCGTCCACGCTTTCACGCCCCTAATTAAACTCTTTACGCCAGCGAAACACCTGGACACGACTAAGAACACTATAACCATGCACTTTTACAATTTTTGCGTACATTCCAGGAGCTGCAGAATTTTATCGCGACGCGGCGATCTTGATTTCGTTTTTCCATTTTCGTGACGAGCACCAGGAACACACGGTTGCTCAACACGGAACAGCAGGCGAACTAAACAAGCAAATGGCAAATATATCAATGGAGGGGAGAAGGATGCCGGGAGAAGAAGGGAAAGGGAATATCAAGGTCGCAGGGTTACCAGAATCGCGGTAATATAATCCGTCTCTCATAACTTAATTGTGACACCTCGTAGTTTTCGTAGTATGCGGCTTGCTGTACGTAATGCTAACCACACCGTTAACTGCTCTAAAAAAGAGGAAGTCTTCTCCTTGGTGATATGATGATCTGAAAACCCCAAGAACTCAACAGCCATCAATGAAAGTTAAAGGAACGAAATTTGGCAACCTTAGAGGGATAAGCAGGCAGACCTATTGCGCATCGGATCCGCCTGATTGAGTACAAAGAACACATAAATACTGCCTTTATAAAGAAGGAGGGAGGAGATTTAACCTTCTCTGTTGTGGAGTCCTTTGAGGCACACTAGCAAGAGTACATCAAGTAAGTAGCACATTTTGACAGTAGTTATTTTTCTTTAGCTTTCCCGGCTCGCATTCTCGATGACGTTAATGCTGATTCTAAGATAGACGAAAACCGAGTTGCGAATATAATGAATGTGTGTTAACTAAAGCAGATATTTCGTTTTGACCTCGTTCTTCCTTATCCACTCCAGTCAATATCATCTGCGTACGCCAGCAGCTGTACACTATTATGGAAGTCACACGGTAGGAAACGCGTTTTGACTGAAACCTCCACATGAAGCTTTTGCTGTTGTTTAACGTCACTTCACACATAGCAATGCATAGGCAACTCCTTTGCGGGATGGCGGAGGCTGCTATAAAATCAACAAAGAGATGGTGTGTGTCGGCTTGTTGACGTTGGGATTTAACCTTTCACACAACGCGCATGATTGTACCTTATATGCGATATTCAGCTTAGGCTTAATTCACGGTAATTGGCACAGACTGTGGGATTCTTCTTTTTGTGTATTGGGCAGGTTTGGTTCGTCATTTGCTGTTGATTAATTTTCACTGTTCACGTTGAGATTGATATCAATAAGAGCACTGTTTTCTAACTTCCAGAGACAAATTATCTGAAGAACTGTAATACTGCACTTGGCCGATCAAAATCACAACACTATAATAGAAAAACTAAGGCTATTTTTTCCCTAAAGGGAAGGAATATAACTCGGTAGACATTAATATTTGTTAAACGAACGATCAGTCGAGGTTCACAATACAAAACCAAATAGCCATACAGGGAACGCAGACATTCAAAGGATTCACGGTTCAGAGAGGTTATAAATGGGAAGTTAAGCATAGAAAAAATTCAAAAACTTATAGAGAAAACAGAAAACGGATAGTTGACTATAGAAACTGAAAAAAGTGAAGATGACAATCGAACAGATGAAGAAAGCATAAAAATAAACCCAAATATAGTAAACTGCACATAAACCCTACTTAATATACACCCAACAAATATGAAAAGTCCAACTAAATTTTTAGGTGCTGTGGACATTAATATTTCTCATACTGATGGCAACACCACACATAATTAGGGCACACAAAATGAATCGTTGCTTTTTCTGGATCCTGTCGATCCAATCTACTCAAGTCGCGTCCTCACACTAAATCATATTTACTTCAAGAAAGACTTAAACATATATATATATATATATATATATATATATATATATGTGTGTTTGCGCGCACAGACTTGTACAATTAAGCATTAAATACATTTTTGAATAAAGAATACTTGGAAGAGGCAAACTGAGAAAGGAAAAAAATTTATTTCTACGTAGATAAAAGATAGAGAATTGGATTGAAACATCCCAACTTCAAGCTAAGCATCTACGATTACGGATATGAGACATCAAATAATGTGCAATTAATTTATAACGCAGGTAGAGCACAGAGTTTAAATATTAAGCGCAAACTAGAAAAGTATAACTTAGCTGGGAAAGTGCGAGCATTATTAATAATGTTTTACTTAATTATTTTTTAATAAGACAAAGAATAAAAGAACAAAATATTAAATTCGCTCTATAAACTATAAAGCACCAGAATTATTACAAGCTAATAAATTGAAATGAAATTGGTTTTACATGTTTGCAATAGAGTCAAATGCGATCAATTGTGCTCGGTGGTAGTGGAAAAATGCAAATAAAATATAGGCAACGTCGAGACAAACACAAACGCCAATAAGCCAGTAGAAAAAACCCCAGCATTAAAGGTAGTTTAACATAGTTACAAATTATATATACACGAGGTATCACAATTAAGTAATGAGACTGATTATATTACCGCGATTGTGGTAACCCTGCGACCTTCTCCTCCCGGAATCCTTCTCCTCTCCATTGATATATGTACCATTTGTTTGTTTAGTTCGCCTGCTGTTCCGTGTTGAGCAAACGTGTGTTCGTGGTGCTCGTCACGAAAATGGAAAAACGAAATCAAGAGCAACGCGTCGCGATAAAATTTTGCGGCTCCTGGAATGTACGCAAAAATTGTAAAAGTGTATGGTTATAATATTCTTAGTCGTGAAAGCATAGACGACTATGCGCGGAGCCGGAGACTAGTCGAGGTGCTGACTGACACGAATGCGCAGCGTTATTGCCTGTTTGGATAGCCGTGGAGTCGTCTGCAAAAATTTCTTTCAGCGGGACAAACCGTAAGTAGAGTCTACTATTGCCAAGTTCCCGAAAGATTGCGAAAACGAGTCAAAAGGGTGCGCCCTGATATTGTTTTAGGAAATTAATATTTCCAATTGTAGTCGCTTGAATGTCAAACCCTCCGAGTGTATTTCTGCCATAAAATAAGAATTCCTCATAAAAATCCATTGGCCGTTTCTTAAAATAAACAGTATACGAACGAAAATAATACGAATAATATAAATACGAGTATCTGTTAAAATACTTTAATACAATAGAATTGTACTTGCTAAATTTTTCCTAATAATCCGAAAGAGTAAGTGTCTCCACTACAACAAAATACAGTTACTCTCAAACTACACATAAGGGTGTCTGTACTAATACGTGTCCACACTAAATAAGGAATCTGGTTATCTAGTAGGAACGTTTACATGAAACAAAATATATATAAGATTTAGTTAACATAATAGAGTAGAATTAACCGGGAAATCGAAAAAAGGGAATGGAAAATTTATTGCCACCTATACCACATCGCTGTTGCCAGCTGCCAGTGTGTTTGCACGCTTTTGAACAAATACATAATTTTCGTCAACGAATTTCATAATTTATATGCTTGAATATGAACGCAAGACAAATAAACATGATCTATATGATAACAAATAATTAGTTATGCATTTAGTTTTCATTTCTTTTGAACAAACCTACGCATTATCTTCGATTATTTAATGTTACTTTAAGAAGGGCTGTACTGGCAACCTGGTACAGCAACGAAAAATGAACCGAGCCGGTTTTATGGAAAAAATCAAATCTTCGTTGGTTTCTGCGGAACAACCGTCACTAACGGCATAAGCAAGCGGTGACAACTTTGTGTTTACATGGCGCTCTCATAAGATAGGTTACTATGGACGACTGGTACGCGCGTTGGGTAGTTGCAGCATTACCATCACTAAAACAAGTGTTACTAAAAAAAAAACTAGGAAAAAAAGAACTTCGTGGAATTGATGGACGAAAACTACCACTTTGATATGAATAAGATTAGGAATAAGCTCATAACAGAAAATTAGCCTTTACTTACTTGATTACTTTCCCGGCTTTTTTAGTCAGTATCGTTTTGGACGTTTGCTAAGTGATCATGCCACTGTTGATACGTCTGAGGCCATATCGCCAAGCTAATAATATTCAATAGATCATAGACAATTTCGACAGACCGGTTACCTTTTCAGCAAAGGAGAATTCAACTCGAGCAGCAGGGTGAGTCCACAACTAGATAAAAAAAAGGGAACACACTTGAAGGGTTAAACTAAAGGACTAAGAAAAAACAAATATTTATAGAACTTAGAATGTCATATTAAGTGTAAATTCTATGGTTTAGTTTTAATAAGAATCTCAACTAAAAGTTTAAACATTAAAAAGTAAAAATTTCTAATTTAGACATTCGTAATTTATATCCATACGTACATTAGTAGAAAAAAATGATCTAAACAAACTTATAATGAAAAAAAGACCTTTAGGCTTCGTATAGTGGGAGATAATTTCGTCTATCTAGGATCCAACATTAATACCTATAACAACGTCAACGAAAAAATTCAAGTCAGTTCAATCTTCGTAAGTATTCGTAGTATTCGAGAGAAAAGTTTTTCGAACGATTATGATCCTTTGCGCATTGGCAACGGCGACTACTGCAAACAACTCAACAAAAAGCAGTGCGAGCTATGAAGAGACAGCGACTACGCTGGTTAGCTCATGTCGTCCGAATGGATGATAGCACTCCAGCTTTGAAAATATTCGATGAAATATCCGCTGGTGGAAGCAGAGGATGCGGAAGACCTTATCTCCGCTTGAAGGATCAGTTGGAGAGCAACCTGGTTTCACATGGTATTTCCAAATGGCGCCGAACAATGAAAAGAAGATATAAATGGTGCGTTATAATAGGTTCCGCTATAATATCGCAAGCGGTAAGAACACTAATAAGATAATATGAAACGTTAAAATCGAAGTATGCTCTTAAATGAAAGTATACAGCCCGTTTGTGCGGTTTCAACGTTAACGATTTCATTTAATTTAGCCTAGGGACCCCGCACCAATTCCTAGTGCAGCCTTTGATCCGTACGTGTACCATACTTGCGTTAGAGGTCATATTTCAGGTCTTATCTACGTTTGGCGCTCTTTTTCTTTTTTTTTCTACTCCCTATTTGGTTGATATGATTTTTCCTTTCCCTGACCCTTCTTTCCTCTATAATTTTTGTAGAAGATCAAAATCAAAGAAATTGTTTAATGCTAACGTTATCATGCATTCTGTTGTACAGGCGTACGCTAATATTTGTAATTTTGTTAAGGCAGCATTAGCTGTCTTTAACTTAGCTCTTTCTCACCCGGCAATCCAGTTCATTTGCACTCTAAAATTTCAAGGCTTTGCACTAGATGATGAATAAATATCGAACCTGCTAAAAGCCACCATTTCAGTAACGGTTTCAAAAATGGTCATCAAACAGAAGTTATCTAAACTGACTTCAGCAAAGCGTTTGATTCTTTACTTAACTTCAAACTCGACCATTCCGGGTTTCCACCTTCCTTTCTCCGTTGGATACGATGAATGGTAGAAAACAAAAGGTAATTTTTAAATGTTGTACATCACGTGAATAGTAGTCACCTCTCTTCTCTAATTTGAGGTTTTGCGTCTTGATGTTTTTCCAACAAATGGAAAGACCTACAGTCTTTTATGAGGAGTTTTATTTCATGTCATAAATACACTCGGAGGGGTCGACATTCTTTAATTTTATTTTTAAATTAATTTTCTATAACTTCTCGGATGTTCCAGGTGTCCAAGATTTGAGCTTTCCGAATAGCAGTACGCCTTGCTAAACACTCGGCTACCTGCGGCCCCTTATTCCTCTTATATTCTTCAATGACAATTTGACCAAATAGTTTAGTTAGGGCGTATGATCCGAACTGTATGACCCTAAATTTAAATAAGTGCAAATATATGTAATCCTCAAGAAAACCTTTCCACAATGGACCCTAAGCTAGATTTTAGAAATCATATTAATGATTATACTAATAAGGCAAAATACGCTCAATGACTCATATATTACCAGATTAATTCTTTATCTCACTTGTCAGACCTATTTTGGAATATGACTCAGTTATATGGAGTCCGCAATATCAAGTTCATAGTGATAAATTGGAATCTGCACAAAACAAATCCCACTATTCGTGACAAGAAATTTAAACTGAGATGCGAATAGAAATCTGTCTTCTTACAAATGGCTCTTTAATCTGCCTACAGTTCATAATCGTCCATTGAAAGATTAGATTAGAGTTTTTATTTAAATTGATAAGAGATGTTTCTAATAGCCCATTCCTACTAAGCGAGCTAAACTTTGCCACCCTTTAACATCATCTAGACACTTTAGGTCCCTTTCATTGTGCACGGAACATACTTTGAAATGCACGGCCCTTTTAGATCTTTCTGTATCAAACAAATCTGTAGCTGACGGTTCCGTATTCAGGGCAGTCCGGACTGTTACTGGTTTGCAATCACCAGTGTGTTGGATTTTCCGACTATCCCCCAGACGAGCCGAATATACCTTCTTTGCCCACCCTTGCGTTAAAGTCGCCAAACACGAGCGCTAAGCACTCATAAAAGCTAACTAAAGCAGATAAATATCCAATCCTAACTAACTTTATTCTCTCAAACTTAGGGGTTTAAAACATTTTCCCACTACTGATTTAGAATAAGGATGCCATCAAATTTTGAAGAAATAGAGTTATGTTTTATTTGAAATATAATTATAAATAATTACATTACAAGATTAAGGCAACTAGCAACGGAGCTATCGGCCTGAGTTACGTATAAGTAAAAGTTATTACAAAGGATACAATATATCCTTAAGATAAGATAAAGTTATATATAATGTAAATTTTTGGTGCAAACTCTACAATTGTGAATATGTTTGATTCTTTTTTTATCTGCAGGTTTTTGACAATCTTTTTGCTATTGTAATATACGTTAAACGAAAAAAATATACTTAAGATAAGACTAATATTATCTCACAACATACTAAATTTGTTGTAAAAGTTTACATTGATAAATATTTTTTGGAAATAGTTTCTATGTTTTCTAAGTTATATATTTTGAGTAGATCAGTAGGCTTTTGTTATGAAATATGTTAAACCTAACATTACGGTATTTTAGACAAAGTTCGAGAATATGATTAATAGACAGTGGGCATTTGCACTCCAAGCAGATTGGGCTGGGTTCACGTTTCAGAAGATGTTCGTGGGTAATTTTTGTGTACCCCAATCTCAGTCTAGAAAAAATTTTTAGTTGATCCGTTGTTGAACTTGCAGGAAAGACTGCATTGCAGCAATTCTGGTTATACAGCTTGTAGCTATGATTGTGGGTTTGCCAGTTGGACACTGTTAATCCTCTCATGAAGGCGTTTACTTGTCGAATGATGTCTGATTTAACGAACAATCCAAAGCATATGGATGGCGATTTGTAGACTTCTTTTGAACGGGTATCCACATAACCTTTTCCTTTCTCTGCGACTGCATGCTTGATGGCGACGTTTATGGCAGTTAACTCAGCTGCGAATATTGAGTTATATGAGATTTAAAGTCCCTTGGTGATTATGTTTCTTCTGTGACTACAACGAAAGACGAGGAATGCGAAATTTTCGATCTATCTGTGAAAATTAGTTTCCAACCGTCTTTTTTTAACTGAACTCTAATGTCAAGAAAAGTTTATTGGTAAATTATAGAATTTGTGCTCTGTTTAGGGTAGGCAAGAATTTTCATAATAAAAATTGTATTTGGTAATTGCCAGGGTGGGACGAAGTTGATTCTTTTGACAGTCGGCTTACAAAAAATATCAATGGCTTTTTTCATGTTGTAGGGCATTGAATATAGCAGATGGTCTTTTCATTCCTCTCTTTTTTGTAATAAGGTTTTTACGTCTTTATGTAAGATCGGGTTCTTTGTAAGATAAATTTTAGGAATTAGACGAAGAGTGCTTTGGTTGAAAAGGTCATCTATTGAAAGGAGGCCAGATTCAGCTAATAAATTTTTGATAGGTGTTATTAGAAATGCTCGCAGACTTCTCTGAATCACTGAGTGATAGGGTCCATAATAAATAAACGGTAATCAATAATTCCTAATATAAAAAATCTAGTAACATTAATTAAGGACTCAGTATGTATTCTATTATTCTAAGAAGTGAGATATTTAATGATGTTTAGTCTGGAAGGTGTGTTCAAAAATCATCGCGAATTTTGAATATTCGCGGGTTACGTATAATCGAGTTTCGATTTTTTTGTGGTGTTATGTTGGTACTCATGTCTGTCACTTATGCCGCCAAGCTCGGCCATTTTGAATGTTCACTTAATTGTTAACAGCTGCTTTGCTTGCACGTGTTTTGGATGGTCTTAGATTTTTACCTATTCGAAAAAATGGATCAAAGAACCTGTATCGAATGTTTACTGTGGCATGCGGAGAAGCTACCTTTGACCGAAGCAACGTTTATCGGTGGTACAAAATGTTCTCAGAATGCCGAGAAGATGTGAACGACGAAGAGCGTGCTGGACGCACGAGCACTTTAACAACAGACGAAAAAATTAATGAAGTGAAGAAAATGGTATTGCCACAGGGTAGAACAGTCAATAAGGAATATTACCTGTAAGTTATGCGAAATTTACGCTAAGCAATCCGCCAGAAACGCCCGGATTCGTGGAAGAACAAAANGAGGAAAGAATAATATCTTCTATAATTTTGCCTCTTGGGTTCACTACTGATGGTCCCCACATTGGGCTCAACGAGTTAACATCAACTAGCAGTATCATAAGTTATGCGCAATTTGCGCTAAGCAAACCGCCAGAAACGCCCGGATTCGTGGAAGAACAAAATTTGGCTTTTGTACCACGATAACGCCCCTGCTCACGCCGCAGCCACCATATTCCCCAGATCTGGCCCCCTGTGACTTTTTCTTGTTCCCTAAATTGAAGAAGCCCATGAAAAAATATAAAGATGAAAGAAGATAAAAAAAAAATGATTTTTTAAAGTGCTTCGAAGATTGGAAAACCCGTTGGCACAAGTGTATAATATCTCATGGGGATTACTTTGAAGGGGGCAAAATAGATATTCATGAACAAATAAATAATTTTTGAAAAAACACAAACTTCACGATATTTTTGAACACACCTCGTAGACCTGAGTTTTTTGTTTTCTTAAATCTAAACATTGTTGCTTAAAATTTAAGTTATAAT